TCGCTGCAAACGACTAACATTCGCGAAACTCTGCTACGTTCGTTGGCATGTTTGCTAGGTGAGTCTGGGGCGAGTTTCTTCGCTAGGCGAAGCATTCTTCGCTAGGCGAGTCTGGAAACAACATGGTTCGCTAGGCGAAGCTTTCTTCGCTAGGCGAGCTGGGAACAACATGGTTCGCTAGGCAAACTGTGCGATGACAGCAAATTCTGCTACGCACCAGAATTGATTTCCACCCAATTACTCATACGATTCACTTACCCAATGCCCCCAAAACATCCCTAAATCATCCCTAAGGTCCTACGACGATAAAGGCATAAAACCTACGGTTTATTAGGTCAATCCCGTAACATATTCATGTCCTAAATCACAATTTTTCCATCAACTACACCCTAAGGCATTAGAGTTATTCAGTATCCAATATTTTATCCCTTCAGGGTCATACCTATAACAATCCAAGATTTTGGCCACGAAGGCCTAAGGTTTCCTAATTTCACATCAAACAGTCAGGAATACTTACCACTAACCACAACCATCAGGGTCTCGCTATCAATTTCTCTATTTCCCATCCAGAGTTACATTGAAAGGCATACATAGAAAATCATGAAAAGCTATACTCCCCATAGCTTAGCCGATTCAAAACCTTCACAATTATCTTCGGGAATCTGCCGAAGTTTTTACCTCCTATTTCCTCCTCAGAGCTTTGGCCTCCATTCTTTTCACGGTTAACAAAATAAATTCTAATTCCCTTCAGAATTCTATTTTGTCCAACCTAGCCTTGGGCCTCACAATTTGAGCTTTTCCCTTATTACTTTTACTAACTCATCCAAATGCCCAAATTGCCCTTATCCCACTTACATTTATTTTAATTCATAATACTATTAATATATCCATATTATACTATTATTCAAAATAAATAACCCAATTATGCATAATTCTTTATATTCCACCAAACCACCCAAAATACCAAAATACGAATATTCTCAATTAAATAAATAAATTAAAATATTCCAATTAAATTTGGGGTGTTACAGACGTACCCTGAGTGAGGACGGCGGGGGAACTGCCTCAACAAATTGGTGTTCTCTCTTTACTTTTTCCATTGCTGAATTTTGAGTTTGTGTGCAAACAATTTAGTTAACTAAATTTCTGGTGTGTGTAGTGCTGAACCAATTTTAGAAACCTTATTACAATCCTTGATTGTAATTGAATACTCTAACACTTCATTCACATATCGAAATTCACTTGAGGTGCCTTGCACACCAAGTGTTCGACTAATTACATGAACACAATCACTTGTGCTGTCTTTTCATTTGGGTTATATTTCACACGCATTGGAAACTGTCCAAACTCAAAGTGAACAAAATCTAGTTAATGTGTGTTCAAATTAGTGATTCTAAATCTTGTCTTTATCGGATTCCATAGGCTTTGCGTATATTCGATCTTTTCGGTAAAGGTTCGTTTAGACGAATATAGTTTCTCGACCACTTCCGCTTAAAACTTTTTAAAAACCAAATATTGATAAGCGCCGACTCTGTTTTTAATAAGTGGTCTATTCAACCCCCCTTCTAGATTTGTGTCGTCGTCTTACAAGTTATTTGAGTCTCATTCAAATCTTTCTAAAATAGACAAACATATTGTTGGAATTCCTATTCTGGCACAAAAACTTGTTCATCTGCAAGTAAGGATTGTATCAAAAACTTTGCCTGAAATCATTAAGCAGATTAATGAGAAACTTGCTAATAGATTAATGATAAAAGTTTCGGCTAGTCTGTACTCATTGGTCGCTGATGCAATATACTGCTAGTATTATTACAAGCAGTAATTCAACGAAGGATTTCCTTATGGATGAAATTAACTAGTAAAATTACTCAGTATGTTAAAGTATTGATGTCTTGGTTTTGTCGTTGTTTTTGTTTGTTTGGATCTATAACAAATGTAGTTTTTCTCGTGTCTTTTGGTTATTAGTTGTAACTGTTACTAGTATCCCATAACTATGTTTTATTTTATGTTTTTTGTATGTTAAAAACTAGCAATATGTTTAAGTAAAAAAATCTCAATTGCAAGGGTGCTGGTGATTGTATCCTTTACATCCCTAAACAAGTGTTCCACTCTTGCACAAGGATAAAAAAAATTCATAAAGGAAATGTTCAATATCTAAATGGATGAGAAGTTTTCCATTATTCTGTTCAATATCATAAAAGTAAGTTCCATAAGTTCCACATCGTTTGTGTTATGTTTATTTCGACTGTATATATACATACACAAACAATGATATTGTAACGTTGTTTGTTGGATGGATGGCCTAAAGCCCAAATAATTTATTTTAAAATTTATATTAGTTTATTTCTATATAAATTTATAAAACTTTTTAGTAAAAAATATTAATTAATAATTTATTTACAAGATGATTTGGATAATAAAATATCAATAAGTCTCATGCCACATCATCAAAAAGCGCCACATATTAATTTTTTTTACACATCAGCGTTTTTTGGACCAAAATTGAGGATGTGAGACTAAAACTGTTTAAAAATAAAATAAGGCAATTGATTTCATGAGCAGAGCATAATAAGGGGACCAAAATTATAATTTATCATTTTTTTAAAATATAAACTAAATTACCAAAATACCCATAAATCGCACAAAACATATAAATTACTCAATAACATAGATTAAATTACACAATTTAAATAAAAATAATAATTAGCTAAAGTTGAGGTGTTACACCATATAAAAATAATAATTAGCTAAAGTTGAGAACGACTCCCTTTACACCATAAGCATAAGCGTAAGATATTTGGATAAGTTGGTGAATGAGAAGGAGAAAACCTTGAGTAATGTCCAAACGTCTTTGTATGACATAAAAACTGCTTTAAGTGAGGTTAACGAATCACACAAAATTTCTAATAAGATAATCTAGGATATGGAGACCGCTATGAGGGAGGCAAAAACATCTCATTTGGAAGAGGTTAAAAGGATGCAATATCGACTGAATAAGGGGGAGGAAGCAGAGGACTTTTGGCACAATGAGTATATTAGAGTCGTTCGAGTTAAAAGCAACGTCATGCAAGCCTCTTTTGATAATGCCCTGAATCAAGTACAATTACTTTGTCCTGAAGTGAAGATTTTGAGGGATAAAGTTTATGTTGAACAAGAGGTTATAAAAGGGATGCTTGTTCCTATGTTTTCTTTTACTTTCCTCTGTATTATGCAACTATGATGTCTTTCTTTGCTTGATTGGATTCACTTGTATCATACTAGCCTCTAGCCCAAAATTATATTTGATATGTGGATAATAATTTTTTTACTTAATCATTTGTCATAATATAATGCTTATACTGTTTGCACAATTTTTTTTTTGAGGATAACGATCCATTGTTCTTTATGACCATTATGAGGACTCAATCTTGAATTTGTTGGATGTTTTTGGGAGTCGTTCCCAACCAATGGTTTGTTCCATTTCTTGTGCCAGAGAGAAAATTAGGGTTGAGGTCGATGTGAGTATGGCTCCACTATTTGCTCTATTGACTAACTAGTTATCAAGAGGGGCGTGCATAATGCATTTCTTCACATTTGGGTTGTTGCATCTTTAATTATTCGCCACTGTCTCGTTTCAGATTTAAGGCTTTTTCCTCTCCCTTTTGGTTGTAATTAGGGGTGAGAATAGGTCAGACCAACTAACAGGGCCTACGACCTAGCCTACATAGGCCCATGCCATATTTTTTCTTAAATAAAAAAGGCCTAATATTTTTTATAAGCATATTTAGCTAAAGAGGTTAGGCCATATGCCGTAAGAAAAAACCTTTTAAGCCTATCAGGCCAACCTATTTATAAAAAAATCAATAAATTTATTATTATTATATTGTATTTTGTACTTTAAATTAAAATACAGAAATAAAGCTTAGTTATTTTGAACAACTTATGAAAATAAGTTGAAAAAACATTATAAACAATGTAATACGTTGTTGTCATGAGTTTTTTTCATAGGTTCTCTCCAACATAATATCATCAAACTTATGCTAATAGGTAAACTTGAATGTGACAATGAAAACAAATATTTAGTCTCAATGATCTTTTAATTTGTTAGTCTATTTAACATTAGTTGAATTTCTTATTTACTAACGTTCAAATGAAGTAGACTTTTAAATAGGCTAGCAGGCCAATCAGACATTTGAAAAGGCCAAACTTAGGCCTAAAAATAAGCTTATGATAGACTATAAGTCAGACTTAGATTTTAAATTTTTTAGCAGACCAGTCTCAGACTTGACAAAGCCTAACTCGGTTCAGCCTATTTCCACCCTTAGTTGTAATACTTCTTTCACGTTCAATGACTAGCATCATCGATAGTTGGTGTGTTAGAGCTTTGCCATGTTCCCCATTTTTGACACCTCCCAAATAACAGATGCAAATTGTTGCCCTTAACCAAAATATTAGAAATAACATTGAAATTTGAAATATTAAATTGAATTTTCTAAAATTGCATCAAAACTTAATAGATAATTTGATGAGATGAATCAGTTAATAATAATATCAGCAGTCTAAGGTTAATTTTTGAATTAAAAAAAATAAAACTTCATTCTCTTTCTGATGATATGTTGACATCTAATTAGTCAATATGTATATTTTATAGATTTTATTTTAAAATAAAGTTATGTTTATAAATTTTGACTTGTAGAAAATCAATCACACTAAGTTATAAATAAACAATTTACTCTTTTTAGTGGTATTTCATTTCCTTTGACTTAATACATTTACAAAAAAAAAAAAAAAAGGCGAGTCCACATGTTTAAATTTCAATATTCCAAAGCCACACTGTCTGAATTCCTACCCTACCCCGGCTACACTCACTCATTCATTCATTCATACATAAACCAGAATAAACACTACGACCCCACTCTCAAAACCGCGAAAATCAACACCAAAACAAACGCCATAGGCTATTTCCATCCATAACTGATCGAGAAAAAATCTCTTAGATCTTTCATCATCGATCGCTCAAAATGTCGATCTTCTGGAAGCATCTAAAGTCATCGTCTCCGTTACTTCAACGCCTCAAACGCCACGTCACCGGCGGTCACTATTTACTCTCGCGATCTTTCACCACGACGGAAGGTCATCGCCCTACTATCGTCCATAAACGTAGTCTCGACATTCTTCACGATCCATGGTTCAATAAAGTATACACTCTTTTCCTTCTAATTCACAGTATTACATACAATTTCATCGTTTTCGGTTTCGTGTTACTTTGAATTTTCAAATTGAAATTGAAAACAAGCTAATTTAATTGGATACTCACTGTTTAAACGGATGAACAACTTGTTTATAGTTTGAAGTTATTTGAATTGAATGCATGTTTTTATTCGGATGTTTTAATTAAGCTGTATATGATTGGATATATAGTTTTCGTGATGAAAAGCAACTGTATCCATTTTAATTTTTGATAATTTGCTACGAAGGCTTATTTCAATGGAAGCAGAATATTCTTCAGAAACTGTTTTAAGTTAATTCAAACAAATGTAAAATGCTTAGTAAGTGGTTATCTATCGTTATGGAGAATCCAAATGCGGTAAAAGTAAGCTTGTCCACACAGAACCTCTGTCAGTGTAATATAGTTAGGAGACTTTATGATTCTTTTATGTTGTTGCTTACTTTCACAATATGCTATTACATACTGCATTTGTTAATTTAATTCCAATTTGAACATTATTAGAATTGTTTTATGCACTGGGAAGGTGCATTTGGTTGGATTAGCTGCAAAGTAGTTTTGTTGATGTGAAAATGTAGTTTCTACTTTCTTGTAACTTGGAAAAATAATCTATGAATATCATTACTTCATGCTTACGGATGAATTGTCTAGAATGGAGCTATACTACAGGAAGCAGATTTGCATTAACAACATAAATTAGGGTAACCAATCTATAAAGATAGAAAGTTGAAATTACAGAAATAATATGTCAAGAATGATTTGTGGTGCTGTTCCAATTCAACCCATATGCCATCAAGCATCCTATAATACTATTAACCGAGTGTGAACACTGTCTGGTAGCGAAGATTTTTCGTCTTCAACCCATAATAGGTCCCCACTTAGTGGAATAAAGCTTGCTTATTGTTGTTTTCGTTGAACTCATAGTAGGTAGTAAGCTTTTATTTCACAAAATAGTTTGGCGAAGATTGTTCCAATTTTTTTGGGCTGAGGAAATAAACGTAACTCGTGCTAATCTAAGTAATCATAGAGTTCCAAGGCATATCATGATAAGAGTCTTATCTTCATCCCACAACTCAAATTGATGGCCATCCTCTCTAGGAGTTCTTCTTTCATTGTAGTTTTTAGCCTTCAACATCCTTTAAGGGCAATGCACATGGCTTGAGATCACTTTTGGTGATTCATGCCTTAAGATAGTATATCAAATGAAAAATTGGGAGGATAATTGTAGTTAGAGGAATTCTATTTGACACATTGGATTGTGTAATGGTAGAGTGATGGGCGGTTTTTTACTCTAACATGGTGTTGGAGATTTTGAGCTAGTCACAATCCACCAAGCTCACTAGGCAAGGCTAGAGCAATGCCTTTACAAATCTAGGTAGAGAAGATTAGGATGAATTGAATAGGATAGGCCATATTCTAAATGGAGGCTTGACATGCTGCCATGCACCGGCGGAGCAATTTTGCCTAGGTCTGATGTAAAACAGAGGAACGCATGCATGTGGGCGCATGAAAGGCTCATTAGCTATGGGTTTATAGAGATTATTGAGGATGGTGAACCTTTTAGTAGGGTTGTCATTCAGAAGAGCGATCATAGTCAACAACACACAACTTTTGGCTGGGATGCTTATGGAAGATTTGAGCACAATGAAGGTGCACCGAGTAGTGACACCAGTTGTAATACAAAGAGCTGCTATAATGGTTACAATGGCTATAATGGTTGATTGTCAGTGGAATAGTTTCTTGAAATAGAAGCCCTAATAGAAAATTTAAAGAACAATTTCCAAATATTGTTGTTACTTGAGTTTTTTATTTTTATATTGTTATATAGAGATTTGTATTTTATAGATTGATGTTGACAACTTTCATATAATAGTGCTACATTATAGAAGTAAATCTGCCAACCAGGCTTAAGGAAATAAATTTGTATATTTATCTGTTTTGATAGATTAAAACATAAGTAAAGGGAAATAACCTGCCCTAAAAAAGACAATAGTTATTCAACACAGCCTTTCATTTCAAAGGAAGTAAACTTGATGCCACTTTGATGATTTTGGAATTCGAAACATGAGATATTGAAATTAACATATTACTAAATCAGTGATTAGAAAATGTTTTCAGCTTATTTATCGTTTTTCTTGTCAATGGCAGATTGTGATGTATAATTAAGCCGATAAGTTACTTTGTAATTATTGTTTTCATATTCCTCAATTTCTAAGTTGGAAACTCTTGTTTAGAAGTTACAGTCTATAAAAAAATTGTGATAGTCTTCTGCTTACTTTAGATGATGCTAGAGAGTACACATGAAGTTTCGCGTGACTCCCCTTTTCTTCGTTCAGATATTTTGCCTAAGCTTCTTTTAAGTAGCAGGCAGAAGATGATTGTGTGCTTTTGCTATCAAGTTTATAGTCACTTACTCTTCAAACCGTGGATATATTTTTCATCTTACAAATTTTCAGACTGATTTAGTAATATATGTACTTTGATTTTTTGAATTTAGGGAACAGCCTTTTCGATGACCGAACGAGACCGTCTTGATCTACGAGGACTGCTTCCTCCAAATGTTGTGTCTTCTGAAGTACAGATTGAGCGCTTCAGTATGTTTTTCTATTTACTTTGATCTCATGCAACATTAACCATATCTAACGAATGTGGCTTTGTTTGGTAGTAGTTTTTTTGTCCCTTCCTAGTGATGACCGGTGGTGTTAATGATTGAGGTCCATATTGCCTTTAAATGGGAGTTAGGCCATTCAAATCAAAGGCTTTTTCCATCATTCAGTTAATTGTATATCGAATAAACAATGTGACTTTTATGCATATAAAAGTAACTCTATTCCGGGATATCTTCCGTTTCAGGTGTTTGAACAGTTTTGAGAAAAGTAACAGACATTTGTTATTGCATATGTGCTTTGGTGATGTGGAATAAGGATTCTATTTTTTGTTTTTTACTTTTACTATCAGTAATTTTGAGTTGCGCGTGTTATATTTTTTATTAACGATTTCTAAAATTTGTGTGTTTATAGTGGTTGATCTGAAAAGGCTTGAAGTTCAAGCAAGAGATGGACCTTCTGATCCAAATGCACTGGCCAAATGGCGGATACTAAATCGCTTGCACGACAGAAATGAGACTATGTATTATAAAGTATGTCCAGAGTTTTTTATTGCACTATTTTGACTACAAACATTCTAGGCTGAAATAATTTTTGATCTTGATAAATAGGTGTCAATTTCTGGCAGTGCTTGCCAAAAGACTAACAATGATCTGGGCTTCCGTGATATACTTTAATATAAAATTGCATAGATAGTTACAACAAAAATGATTTACTATAGGTGCAACTACCATTTAAGGTGTTGTCTTAGTATAGTATTAGTGGCTATTAAGAGTCCCACATCGGATAATATATGGTTTGAACATGTGTTTATAAGTGGGGGCGTTTTGTAGGGTTGAATTAGGCTAAACCATTTTTCTTAAATGATATTAGAGTCTGATTTAAGATTCGGTGGGCTACCTGCTATCAGGTTTCCGCTATCGGGCCACCCACCATTTATTTCCACGCTCCAGTTGTCTAGTCCTGAGCGTGAGGGGGTGTGTAAAGAGTCCCACATCGGATAATATATGGCCTTAACACGTGTTTATAAATGAGGAGCTTTGAATTAGGCTCTTCCATCCTTTAGAAGAGTAGTTACACAAACTTTATGAAGTTTTTTTGCAACTTTGACTATGAGAGAATACACATGTCCTCTGAATCTTTTGAGCAGATTTGTGGCATGTGTGTTTTGGGAGTTACTATGTTTAGATTCTGTTGCAGAATCTCTTAGTTAGATGCTTAGGTTCTATTACAGACCAGAATCAGTTACTAATGTCTGTATACAATTATAACAGAATGGAAACATGTTATAACTCAATGTTAGGTGTATACATTTCGTCTACTTTTTACTATATTTTTCCTTCTTTCTAGCCTATTGTTTTCATTGGGTGGTTGGGGAAGGTAAACTAAAATGTATATGACCTGAATGGGATTCAAACTTATTTTCAAGAATGAATCATCAAAGGTCTCCTGCGTTCATTGTTACAGTTTTCTTTTCTATATAGTATGCACAGACTTTCATCATCCACTACTGTACATTTCTTCTCTATAGATAAACTATAATGTTATCACACAAAAAAGATAAAATAAACTAAGCTATTGTATGGAAGAGAGTGGGGTTTCCTCCTTCAACATAGCAGATGGATTTGAGAAATCTTCTAACTTTACTCTGTTCTCCTATTTGTTTTTTATATTGTAATATTTGCATAACTGTTTTCCGATGATTCTTATCCTCCAATTCACAATGTTCTTCATGAATGAAATATCATTTTATCAACTAGAAAGGAAAAATTAGCAAGTTCTGCATTTAAAATACTATTGTACAGATGAACTCTGATTACAAAATTATGCCAAAAAGTAAAAAAGTTCAAACTTATAGTTGCTGGCATTTGCGTCGAAACCGCATCACATGGTTTTATGCCATATCACATTTTTGTGTGCATCTTAAAGTTGTGCATTGGAGAATTGAACTCGCCATTATGCTGACTATTGTAAATTATTGAATATGTTCTTATGCATCTTCAAAATCCCACTTTATCAAAAGAATGATTTTAACTTCAATGACACTTGTATAATGTCAGGTTTTGATTGCCAACATTGAGGAATATGCACCAGTAGTATATACTCCAACCGTGGGTCTTGTATGTCAGAACTATAGTGGACTGTTTAGAAGGCCGAGAGGAATGTATTTCAGTGCTGAGGATCGAGGAGAAATGATGTCCATGGTTTACAACTGGCCAGCTGATCAGGTCATTAAATCCATTTCCTTTATAAAATTTTAGCCAGTACTTTTTTGGGTATCCTATGATAAATTGTACTTTTCCAATATGTTATATGGAAATCTTAAATATATTATTTTAATTAGCTGAAAAATATAATTTAATATGTTATATGGAGACCTCTTGTCAAGCTCCAATACAATGGCATCATTGTGCTTTGTCTAGGACATATTCAATTATTGCTCAAATTAAACTGTTTAGTGGAACCCCTTGTTCTTTAATATCTTTAACATGCTGTTCAGATTGGTTCAGTAATGTTGAGTTTTTTTATTCTTGGTTTACCGGTTATACTATCCTGCTTCTTTCAGTCAGCAGTTAATACTTCAGTAATTTAATAGGGGAAAAATGTAATTTGAATGGAACTTTTGGATAAAATAACTAAGGCTTTCTCAGTTGGGGAGAAGGGGAAGTCCCTTGTAAGAGGATCATTCTTTTTATACCTAACCGTTGTGAAACAGATGCTACATCCTTTGTAAATAGCTTAGTTGCTTGCAAACTTTATATATAAAGTTCTTTATTTTCTTCCATAGTCAATTCAATATTAAATCCTCTCTTAGCTTTCTCTCTCACAAATATTTTCTCTCTATGTTCATTAACTTGTACTTAGAAGATTAAACACTAGTATTTTGTTATGTTCTAAATTGTTTATGACCTATGTGCTTGGTTAGATAATATTTTGGTATATATACTAACTTATCAAAGTGTCAAATGGGGACATCTCATTTGATGCTTTTCAGGTCGATATGATTGTAGTTACCGATGGGAGCAGAATTCTAGGACTTGGAGATCTTGGTGTTCAAGGAATTGGCATTGCCATTGGGAAGCTTGATCTATATGTTGCTGCTGCTGGCATAAATCCTCAAAGGGTATGTGGTTGCTTAATGTCTCATTGTTGGTCCTTTGAGACTGTCAAAGTTTATGATTTTCTTATGATTTAGTCAATATCTTTAGAGTAGTGCTAGGAACATTCACTTTTAACACTCTTTCCAACTCTGACTTATTGGGTGAAATCATGTGGGTCCCAACACAGTATGTGGGACCTATTTCCAAAATGGATGGACTCAAATGAATTTCACTCAATATGAGTGAGTGTTGAAAAGAGAGTATTGAAGTGACTGTTCCTAGTACTCCTCGCATCTTTAAGTTGTTGGTAAGAAAATTTCAAATATCACAATTCATCGAATTCCGTGATCAATTATGCTTAAAAGTCTTAATGGATGAAATTAAAATTTTCTAGTTTATTCCTTATTGTCTTTTGGCTATACCTTAAAAACGTTAATTTGATTTGGTATATTAATTAATAAACATTGCTAGTTGTGGAAGACATTCCTTCATTCTAAAAGTTGGTAACTAGAATAATCAGCATTATGTATTTCATTATTCTTCTATTATAAACTCTATATACTACACTACACATCTTTTATGATTCCACGAATTTCCCCCCTTCTTTCAATAGGTACTTCCTGTGATGATTGATGTTGGTACTAACAACACAAAGTTACTCGAAGATCCCTTATGTAAGTGTTTCTATATCTATTCAGTTAAAGATCTTGTAGCAGGACCTCTATAGGGGTGACATGATTGCTTCAAAATAAGTCTCCATATCTAAATGTTCATCTATTCTAGGTTTTGTTTTTCTCAAATACCAACTTTTCCAAAATCAATCTATTCGGCAGATAAGGTTATGAACGGTTTTTCTCTAACATATTTTACTTCCTCATGAGCTCTTTATGCTTGCAATGGAACAATGCTCAAACCTTTACCTTGTGCTAAAATTCTTTATCTAAAAGAATAGTGATTACAAAGTTGAATCTTGATCACCTGGCTAAAAGATCAACTTCCCTAATGCTCAAGGTTGAAGCCTATAAGTGGTTTAATATTTCTAAGTGCAATTCGTGTTGTGCAGCTTACTCAGATATTTATTATGCCTATTTTGCTTCAGTTTCATTTATGCTGGTTTCATTAAAAACTTTCTAGCCAAGTTGCATTCACTCCTCGAAACATTAATGGTTTATTCTTGTCAGATTTAGGATTGCAACAACATCGCCTTGACGGGGATGACTATCTTGCTGTTATTGATGAATTTATGGAAGCTGTCTTTACTCGCTGGCCTAATGTGATTGTACAGGTATTTAAAGTAATGTTTCAAATGTAAATCTTAAAAATATGGGTTGGGCCTAACTCATCCCTACAAAACCGGCTTGTAAGGTGAAAATTATCCTCACTTATAAACACAACACATACCATATCTCTAAGTAATGTGAGACTAAATCCACCTCTTAAAGCTAACACAATGAAGGTGTTAGGGACTGCAATGAGGCAAGCAAAGTGCCGCAATTAAGGCGACTAGGGGCGGACTGCAATTAAGGTGGAAAGTCCGACACACCCCCTCACGCTTGGGCCTCAATAAGCCCAACCGTGGACGATGCGGGAAGCCCAACAACATATCTAGGATAGGTTCTGATATCATCTTAAGAATTTGGGTTGAGCCTAACTCATCTCTACAAAACCGGCTTGTAAGGTGAGAATTGCCCTCAGTTATAAACGCAACACATGCCATACTCTAAACAATGTGAGACTAAATCCACCCCTTCATACCTAACACAATGAAGGTGTTAGGGGCTGCAATGAGGCAAACCAAAGTGCCACAATTAAGGTGACTAGGGGCGGATTGCAATTAAGGCGGAAAGTCCAACAATAAATAGTACTTGCATTTAGGTTTTATTCATAAGGTCCATATTTTTCTATCATTCGACTATCAATAATTTTGTGCTCTTGCAGTTTGAAGATTTTCAAAGCAAGTGGGCTTTCAAATTATTACAACGGTATAGAACTACCTACCGAATGTTTAATGATGATGTGCAGGTAAAATTTCTGTTATATAATATTGTATCATGTCCAATGTACTTTTTAGGGAGCTTTTACATATCTTTGAAAATATTGTAAATTCTTAATTGAATAACTTGCACTTATCATATCAACCAAACAGTGAGAGTATTTTATTACTATGTTAAAATTTATACAAACCATTTGATCATTTCATCAAACAGCCATTGATCAATGGTTTCAGATGAATCAGAACCATTGATGCATAGGCATGGGTCCAGTACCTGGTGCGGGTACCGGTACCGGTACGGGATACAGCATTTTAAAAAAATTCAAGGTGCGGGTACGTTAATAAAAAAAAAGATTTTTTTATTTTTAATAAAATGTATGAGTAAAGAACTAAATTGTTTTTCACAACAAAACATCATTATAAACGTTTAAAAATATCAAAAATAATATTAAGATACAATAACGAAGAAATCAAAATACATAAATATACTATATTGAAATTTGAAAAAACTACAACTTTCACTAGAAATCGAATAATGAAAAAAAATGAAGTACCATGAGTACGGTACGTGTATCCCGCACTTCACCATTTTAGAAGAACCCATGCTTCAAAGAAGAACAATAACACTAGCAATTTTTCAAGTGTTAAGGTCAACATATTCTTCTATATGCTCTAGTTAATTTAGCATTCTAAAGTTTGACGGTCGCTACTGCGCCACTACTTGTCTTGGTCTTCCTGGTTCTTTATAATATTATAGTAAACTATTAGGGAGTTATGTTTTCATAATAGTCTATGTTGCACTTAAATGGGTGTAAGAAAACCTATGGGATATTTCAAAAAACAAAGGTATGTGTACAACAACAGCCAAGCCTTATCCCACTAAGTGGAGTCGGCTACATAGATCAAAAGACATTATAATGTTCTTTCATATATTATATCTATTTTCAACTCATTAGTCTCTGATCTATTTAATAGTTACTCGAATAATTTTTCTAGGTCTTCCTCTGCCTCTAGTGGTTTGAGTAGGCTCCATCTAATTTACTCTCCTTACTACAAAATTTACACATCATCTCTCCACATGCCCAAACATCCTAAGCCAAGTTTCCACAATCGTTTCTACAATAGGTGCTACTCCAAGTCTCTTTAATGCTGTAATTTAATCCTACGTTGTCTAGTTTTATCACACATCTAATGAAACACTCCAGCCATGCTTATTTATTTTATTCTTGTGCTGGTTCTTTACTGCCAACATTTTTTCCCATACAACATCGTTGGTCTTACAGCTGTATGATAAACTTTTCCCTTCAGCCCGTATCATACCGTGTAGTTGTAGTGAAGGAGAAAATCTAGGAATTCATGGCATCGGAAATGTAGGGTGCTGGAAACCTGATTTCCTAGGAATTGTTTTGCTTAATTTTTATGGTCATGATCATAGATTATATATAATGCATAAACTAATACACGCAGAGTTCAATTGGCAATTTTGAAAGTGATGTTTTCAAGATCCTCATTTTTGGAAAACATGATCATGCTATTAATATTAGAGTAATATGGTCATCAAAAGATTTCCGAAAGACAAAATTGGCCTGTAAAATTTCATTATATTGATTTGCTTATCTCATCGTAAGTTTTTGGCAGCAACCAATACTGCGACCAAATTGATATCATTTGTTTTCTCACTAAACTTACGAGGACTAAATTGGTAGTTTGCTATATAGCTTCTGAGTTATCATCTCTAGCTCCTGAGAACTGAATTTAATGTATTGATGAAGTTTCGTATTGATCTTTTTATTGCTTAATGTATGTGAAATCATCTACCCAGGGGACAGCTGGTGTTGCAATAGCTGGGCTTCTAGGTGCTGTAAGAGCTCAAGGAAGGCCAATGATTGACTTCCCCAAGCAGAAGATAGTTGTTGCTGGTGCTGGAAGGTTAGCTAGTTATCTTTTCTCGTGATTGGATGACCAGGCTTTTATGATTTGGCTCAGTTTTCTAGCTCAAAGAACCAGTAATCCCAACCACAATTTATGTTGAAATATCTTGAAAATGTGTCATAATATCTTTATTGTGTCATTGGAGAAATAGATATACTGAAAAATAGGGGTATTTGGTTAACGGGTTCCACTTAAATCAACAAAAGAACTGCAAAAACTGTTAGTTCCATGAAAATGCTGCCTCCTTGTCCTACCAAAATCTTTGTCTAGAAAAATTGCTGGAAAAGTGGAGGAACAACCCATTATTTAGTTGTCACATCAAACAATTATTCCAAAGTAAAATACATAATGTAAACACAAATGGGACATTGTTTCTGAGATTGAACAGAACTAGTGAAGAGTTCTTAATATAGGAGAGTGTGGCCTAACACTTTGCAACATGTCAAGAATTCAAATTCTCCTATCATGATTGGAAGACTAGTGAGCAGAATTAGTGTATGGGAATCAAAGTATATTATGACATTTCATTCGGCTTCTTTCTGAATCTAACATCTTAGAAGTGATTAGAACCCTAAATTGAAACTCATTTTTGACGATTGTGGTAGAACACAGAACAATTGCGCATCAAAATAGAAAATAAGGAACAACTCTGAAGATAATGATTATCACATCACGGCTGTCCAAGGAGAATGTCTCCTTACAACTGAGTAATTCAATTAACCTATATGAGTAATTAGAATTGTTATCTCTACACCATCCGATATATATATTAGAATTGTTATCTCTTACAACTGAGTAATTCAACTTTGTAGTTTCCTCAGTGACTCCTACCCTTCCCCATATTATATTTTATATGCCTAATAATAGCCTGCCTGTGTTAATAGAGAGAAAATAAAATAGGAATTTCTTATCTTTTCACTCCTAGTACATACCTTTCACTCTTCATATATTTCTTATAATAGCCCATCCATCTTTGTCCTAGTATACACCCTCTACTCCTTTTCCTGGGTTGGGCCCCTCCTAAGATACAGGCAATGATAGGCCTCGTGAAACAGAATATCTCCCACTTACAGTCCTTCTAAAATTTAAACCTAAAGCTATTTGGCACTCCCATACTGATTGAAGAACAAACTGTGAGAATTATATTTCTGGGTTTGCATGAATACCAATTATCCCGGATTTGCATCCCACCCATTCACATCTAAACTGTTATAATTGTCCCAAAACATATGCATTCATAACTATTGTAAATTATTCTGTTACTACGGAAAATCATTAGTTATTAAAAAACAAGTCAAGTCTTATTTTAGGAAAGGAATTATTTAGCCTGGTCTATATATATTTTATACAGGTTGAATTGTTCAAAGAAATACTATTCAGCTTCTCCCTGTTTAAGTTAGACCATGATGTCATTGTTTCTAGAAGCAATCCGAAGAGTATTTTGTTTTTGCAAAAGCAATAGTTCGGGCACATGATTTCCAAGTTCCAAATCCATACTGAGTACTTTATTTACTATCCCTTATCAAGCCTGTTAGGTTTGTCAATGAAAGCTTTGAATTTAATAGCTGTTGGAATTAGAAGTCTTTGTTGAGTTCATAGTCACTTAGGATATTCACATTCGGTGTATTGTCTCATTGGTTATATTTGTATTTCTGCAGTGCTGGAATCGGTGTTCTTAATGCAGCAAGAAAAACAATGGCAAGAATGCTGGGTAATAATGAAGTCGCTTTTCAGAGTGCAAAGAGTCAATTTTGGGTTGTTGATGCAAAGGTATTGTATATTTTGATGATGTCCATATTAAAATAGTTCAGTTCTTTGTAGTAATAAAATTTTGTTTCTGATAAGAAGCATAAATTTCTACGTATTTTATATTCAATTGAATGCTAGTATATGTATTTTTGGGAGGTTTACTATCATAGCCTTGTCATGCTGCAATGTATGAGGCTTATAAACTCCATAAAGTCTTTGAGAAATCAACTATTTTCCTTGAATGATATCATAATATGTAAAGAAGGATTCAAACATGCTGAGAGAGATAAAACTTATGTTTTGTTAATTTATGTATTGCTACTTGATAGGTATTTCTTCCGTTTAGATTTAGTGGCTTACTATTTTTAATGCTATTGTGAATTTATGAATCTTGAAAAATAACCAAGTATCATCCACTTACCCTCTTTAGCCATGGTTGCTTATTTTTATTTATACTTTAACTTCTTGGTGAGCCGTGCAAACTCATTATAATGGGGATTAGTTTTGTTCCATATTTATGAATACTTTCAAATGTTTTAATCACCATTTGATATATAATTTTCCTATTGTTGGAAATGCAGGGATTAATCACAGAAGGACGTGAAAATATTGATCCAGATGCTCTTCCTTTTGCAAGAAATTTGAAAGAAATGGATCGCCAAGGACTAAGGGAAGGAGCAAGTCTTGCGGAAGTGGTTAGTCAAAATATCACTTTTGATGCAAATATTAATTATAAAATGCCATAGCATGAGATACATAAAAACAAATTATTGACGTAGTTTTTTTTAGCTTCTGTTAATATTACTGATTCCGAAAGGTTCTTAGCGCTTGGATATGGTCAACCTAACCACCTTCAAAGCCTGACAATTGAAGAATAATGAACCCAACTTGTTAGATAGAAAGTTAACTTTCAACTATGGAAGTTACTAGCTTATTATCATTTTATAGCAGTTATTGTTAAAAAAGTATATACCATAACAGATAATATGTCCAAAACAAATTTTTCAGAAAAACATTTGATTGGTTTCCTTATTTTGATTTGATAGATTTTAGTCCAATTGTTTATGGGCTAATAATACCAATACTAGACCTATACTTAGTATTGTACCCTATCATATCTATCTACAGTATTTCCTGTTTATTAACTTCAACATTCTTTCTATCTTTTCCTTCTTCACTATCCTAAACCTATATAAACAAGTTTCTCTGGCTTCTCTCTTCATTATAATCTGAGCATGCATATTAGCTAGCACCTTTTATAGCGAATGCCAAATTTCCTGGAATAGAATGAGAGAAAGGAAAAACATGTGGGAAAAACAGCAATATAATGAGGCTATCCAATCTCTCATCGCATCTGTTAGGGAAATCCCTCCTGCCCCGTATAATTTTATCAATTTTTTTGTTTTACTGTTGGGATACTTCCTTCAAATATCGTTGGTGAAATCTCTGGTAACATGGTAACAGGTTAAGCAAGTGAAGCCTGATGTCCTCCTAGGACTATCTGCTGTTGGAGGATTGTTCTCAAAGGAGGTATATATTTCTGATGCTTAGGTTTGACATTACATTGCGCTCATATTTGGTTGAGTAAGACTATGGAATCAGCTTCGCTTCTATCTATTTGTCCATCCCCCTACATGTTCTACAGATATTAAGAAAATTGGTTGTAGCATTAAGTTTATAAAATGTGTGTTACTTGTACATAATTTCTCCTACAATAATTATATAATAGAAGAGAAAAATAAATTTGGATTTATCAGTTTTAAGTTTAGTAGAGGTATTTTAAAAAGTCAGTAATGCATGTGAAAGTTTAAAGAGAGTCTTATATTAAGGGACAACAAATATGAAGCAAAATTGAGTTGTAAGGTAAACAAAGTATTCTATTTATAAATACTTATTTAGATTTATATCAAATCCAATGTGACACTCTCAACAGATGGAAATCAATGCTAAATTTTTCAAGGAACTTCATTATTTTTTAACAATGTCACAAGATACTAGATAGACTTAGTTAATCAAAAAACCAGTTAATGTTTAAGTCTATCTGTCACAAATTATGTTTTAGCAAGATAATATTCAAAACAAATTTTGCTTTGTAATGTAATAAAATTTTGGCAAAGTTTCTGCTAAATTTTATTTTCCAAAAATACCATTCATGAGCTAAAAATATATTTACCAGCAGCCTATATTGAAAGGCTCAATACCACCCAAAATATTTTTTTTACAACCAATGCCCTATAGGAAAGGCTAGCCACTACAACCTTCAACCTACCATTTAGCTTCGATTTAAAAGTAGCTGAAAATCTAGTGTAGTAACTTCGGTAGCTACTGTAAAATAATTTTTTAAGCATTTATCCCGCACAAATGACCAAGCCATCCAATGTAAGACATGGCATTGTAGTTTGTATGAAAGAAAAAGGAGAACTTCAGAAGGGCAAGAACAATCTCTTAATCTGCTGTGGTGGCTTTTTTCCTGAGCATCTTAAATCTTTATCCCTCACTAAGTTTATATCATTTCATTTATTTGAAGATTATGTACCAGAAAAAGAAGTCATATGTTTACTTTCTGACATTGCCAGCACCGCCACACACATTCTTTAAATAGAAGGAAAATTGGAAGAAAAAGATGTCTATAACTTTATGCTTAGTATATAAACCATTTTGCTGATTTTCTTTCCTTCGTATCGTAATACTGATGAAGACATCTTGATTTTAGGTACTAGAGGCCCTCAAGGGGTCAACGTCAACAAGACCAGCCATATTTGCCATGTCAAATCCAACAAAAAATGGTATAAATTATTTTTCTTTTTTCTTTTGTGATGAGCCGTGGCAGCCGACAATATGGATTTATAACAGTTTGTATACCCCTGCCCTCATTCTTTGACAGCTGAATGCACTCCTGAAGAAGCGTTCTCCATTTTAGGCGACAACATTATATTTGCAAGTGGAAGTCCATTTAGTGATGTGGATCTCGGTATAACTTCATAAATTCCCAGACTAATATTTCAAATACTCTTTGCTTATATACATTCTGTATGTTCCTTCTTTAAGTATTTCATGATAGCTGATTAAGTTAGCAAATCTAGAAATCTCTATTTATGAAGCACAAAATCCTCTAGAGTATGGCGTGTCGTGGTGTCCGACACTCGTATGACTCTCGTACGACATGTGTCAAATTGCTCAAACAAGAGCCCAAATTTATTTTCTTCTTTACATCGACATACCTTATACACTCCTTTGACATGTCATTCACATCTACAAGAGTTAAAGATGTGTTGAAACTCGAAATAATATTGATCAATAAGGATTTAAAGACATATAATATGCTTACGATATTTTTAGCTTTTATGATACTAGATGGATAAATAAATTGTTCGATTTAGATGCAGATGTATATATTTTAATTTTCAATTTTGATCTTTTATAAATAATATTAATATTTTGTTTAATTGTGTGTGTGTGTGTGTGTGTGTATATATATATATATATATATATATATATATATATATATATATATATATATATATATATATATATATATATATATATATTACATTAGCAGTATTGACGTGTCGACGTGTCTGTGTCCTTCATTGCTCTCTACTTAATCCATTAACCTGATAATAAGAGAAAATATGAACATGATAAAGAAAATCTCTATATAATTTATTTATTTATTTTCACGAGTCATAGCCTAGCATCCCATAATTTAAGGAAACTAATAAAATTTGAGATCTCTAATTGACATTTACGACTTAAATACAAATTGTATAAAAGTATGGTATGTTGTGAGATATTCAGCCCTAATATATGAAGGTATAGTCATCTCAATACATTCATTCAACTTATTAAAACTGATCACAGCAAGTATGGGTGGTTCTAGCTTTTTTTATTGTCTCAATTTATACTCTTCAAGTTCAGAATATTGTTCACGTTTTTTCAATAATTTCAGTATAAACAAGCCTTGTACTTTAGCTTGCTAAAAAAGATACTTTTTCTCTGTGTTTTTAAATATATAAAACCTCTTTACTTTGCTAAAGTACTAGTTCTCTACAAAAAATCTAGTTATTATCGTTTTTACTGTGTTTCATTTAAGGGAAACATACAATGACACTTTTCCTTAATAATTTGCAGGAAATGGACATATTGGACACTGCAACCAGGGAAACAACATGTACCTATTTCCGGGGTTGGTTGGCTGTTTCACACATGATCCTGAATTTAATATAAGCTGTGCTTTTGTATGCACACAGTTAATTTGCTTGTCATTCTGTCTTTTTATTTCAGTATTGGCCTTGGAACTCTTTTGTCTGGCTCTAGGATTGTATCTGATGGCATGCTACAGGCTGCTGCTGAGCGGTATGTTATAGAAGATTCAGTAATTTCTGAAAATACTGCTATTGTGATTTAGTAAATTATTTGCTGCCGAATCGACATGCATGCTGACAAAGACACGACTTAGCATTTGTAGACTCATGTGCATAAGTTCTATTTAATTGTCTCCTAAAATTGACAAATGTATCAATAACTGAAAAAATGTAAAATTGTGATCCTAGAAGAGGAAATAATGCAAGATATTTTTAATAATAACATGGAATATATTTTTAAAACCTACACCGAGTAAAACATCAACTGTCTATACTTTAATAACCATGTTTTACCGGAATTGTGCATGTATTTTATTGCAATGTCAAATATTGGTTTTTCTAGTGGTGGTTATCATTGAAGTTTATTCTCTAAACTGCATCCCTTCTGTTTGATGGAGTCATATATATATAGCTCACGTTTCCAGAAATCATTTTTGTCTCCTTGGAGATGCATCATAAGAAATAATCCAAGATATTCTAAATTACTCAAACATACATTCAACTTCAAGATTGTACAAAATACTTTTGAATATGTTCTTACAATATAAGAACTATTTTCATTATGTGGATAACACTTGATTTGTGCGTTGGATTGTTCTTTCTGATTTGCCGTCTAACTTTGAAACTTCACCTTAATATCCGTTTTTCTTTTTGTTTTCCACCTGATCTTTGGAAACTGAAGTCTGGCTGCATATATGAGTGAAGAGGAGGTCCTCAAAGGGGTTATTTTCCCTTCAACATCCAGGTTGAACTAAGCTTTTCATTAAGCCATATAGTTTGTAAGATTTAGTTCAAATGAAGTTTCATCTATCTCAAAACTAATTCATGTGTGCAGAATCCGAGATATTACCTTGGAGGTAGCTGCAGCTGTTATAGAAGAGGCCGTGGAGGAGGATCTAGCTGAAGGATATCATGAAATGGATGCTAGAGAGCTCCGCAGACTTAGTCAGGTAAGCTTTGTTTGCTACGAAATTATTATGGATTATTTTTGTAACTTGTGCACTACATACTAATGTGATATCTACACTTATGTGGGTGGAGTTAATTTTGTCTGAAAATACACTTGTATGGTCTAGATAGAATAAATTGGTACTAACTGTTAGACTAGGCTTTTCTACTGCACGGGAGGTTGATTTGATTGGTTTGACAGGTGTGAAGAGTTCTACTTTGGATGAGATAAGACTTGAATATACGTTTATAAGTGAGGGCAGTCCTCACTTTACAAATTGCTTTTGAAAGAGTTTAGTTAGACCCAATCTAAGTTCTAAGAGCTGAATTGTGCTTACTCCAACTATTCTTTTTAGTTTTAAAAGAATTGATAGGACTTCTTATGGTGAATTTTTGACCAAAATAACCATCTTTTCACCCCTATATTCCAATCTACCCAACATTTCAACATATTATCCAATCTACCCAACTTTCATATATTTTTTATTTGTGAGGGGCGCCATCCCTATTGGAGTCACCCTTATAATTTTAAGGGCGACTCCAAAGGGGATGACGTCCTCCTTAAAATTATAAGGGTGACTCCAATGGGGATGACGCCCCTTCACAAATAAAAAGAAAATTGTTTGAATTGGATATTATCTTGAAATGTTGGATAGATTGGAATAGAGGGTGTGAAAAGATGGTTCTTTTGGTAAAAAATTCTCTTATGGTCCATACTTCTAAGATTGTGTGTGAGCTTTTCATATGCTTTTCAGAAATTAGGTTTTTAACCACTTATTTCGTAGGCTTACAGTGTTTTTTGATAGATGGCACATTTGCTTGCACTTTTTTTTTCTTTCTAAAATTCGTTGATGTTTGCTTGGCATAGTATGCACAGAGCAGAAAGTTTTCCATGCCCGTATGAATTATCATGAAATAGTTCATTCTCATTTAACATCAAGTTCAAATGTTCATATATTTAATGTTATCCATGCTTCTTTGTGGAGTTGCAGGATGAAATTAAGGATTATGTAAAGAATAACATGTGGAATCCAGAGTACCCAACATTAGTATACAGGCATGAATGAGCAACCTGCAGGGTGGAATCAACCCTACAAACTCAATTTATATGAAATTCTAAAGTATCATTTTATAACTTATTTGTGTGTGTAAAAAGAAAAGCAAATTGATTGTTGATTCAATTTTCTTTTTTAATTTGTGTAGTCGCCAAGTATTGAGTCATAATGATAATTTCATGTAAATTAATTTGATAGTAACATGTAGTCTTTTTAAGATTGTAGCACCATATTTAAGGACGTCTATGGGGCTTCGTTACACCAATTTTTAAATGGTGTATTGGTAAATTCATTTTTAATGAACTACTGTAAATGTCAACACTACAATGATAATCAATAGTTCATTTTTTTTTTGTTTTACAAAGGATGGGATTGGGAGACATGTTATAGACAAGTTACAAAAATATTATATTTCACTATATATATCTTTACATAATATTATATAGTGAAATATAATATTATGCACCTAATTTAATGAGTTTAAAGATAGCACACAGATAGTGTACAACAATATTATACATATAATCAATTAAAAATAAAAAGTGATATGGCTTAATACATGTTTTTTATTGGTTGACAGTATATATTAGATTGATAAAATCAAGTATAAAAGAAGATACAATAATATAAGTAAAAACAATTAAAACAAATTTAGAGTACAAGTACAAAATAGAACGAAAGAGATATATATTTTTTGATTAATTCACTGAAAGTATGATTGATTATGAGAAGAGAGAAATTTATGATTAATTCTTGATTATGATAAGAAAGTGAGAAAAGGAAAATAAGTGGGAGATAGGGTGAGAATAGAGAAGTCTGGGATGCTTGGGAAAAAGCTCGGGAAAAAGATGGTTAACAGCTCGGAAAAAAGATTATGATTAATTTAGACTCTTTTGCTGGTTAACAGCTCGGGAAAAAGATTTCCATCTGGAAAGATAATTATTATCTTTGAAAAAAATCACATTTTGAACAATCTTGCTGACAATCTGTACGATTACTACAGTAATTGCAAGACTATTAAACAAGTCTGGGAAGCTCTGCAGATGAAATGTGATGCTGAAGAAGCGGGTGCAAAGAAATATGTTGTCAGCTGCCACTTGAACTATAAGACGGTGGATGGAAGATTTGTGTAATATGAAAGCCATGAAATTCATAAAATTGCTCATGAAATCATAACTGAAGGTATGCTCATCGATGAACAATTTCAGACTGCTATTATAATTGACAAACTGCCCCCCGGTTAGAAAGACTTCAAAAATTTGCTTCGACATAAAACTAAAGAATTTTCAATCAAGAGTCTGATTACTCACCTACGAATTGAAGAGAAATTTCAGAGACAAGATCTGAAAGATGAAGTCTTAGTTGTTTCAAACAACAAAAAGAAATTTGGTGCAATTCTGAAGCCTAAAGGCAGAGCATTAGAGAATCAGAACCACAATGTTATGAATCAAATTAAGAATACAAATCCCTCTAGGGCCCCATCTGCTCCAATTGCTAGACATCAACCACCACCTTAAAGAAACGACACTCCGACGCTTGTTTGTTTTAATTGTGGAAAGCTGGGTCATATGACTAATTGATATAAGAGCAGGCCTAAACATACTGCTGGCTCAAGTGATCAGGTTAACCTAACTAATGAGCAGTTTGTAACAGCCCAAATTTTGATAATTAATTATTTATATTAATTAATTGATTTGGGTGATTAATATTTTAATTGTGGAATTTATGTGTTAATATGTTATGTTTGCTTATTAAGCTATTTTACCGATTTTGAGAGTTTCGGGAAAATAGATTGGAGGGTATTTTAGACATTAAGTATTTAATGTTAAGTTGAAATATTTTATTAGAAATGGATTAGTGGATGTTTGGAGAGAAATAGAATAGAAAGATATATAAGAGGAAAGTGGAAAGAAAGAGGAAGATAGAAACATAAGAGAAAAGAAGAGAAAGGAAGAGGAAGAGGAGAAAAGAGAAGGAAGAAAGGGAAAACTTGGAAAAGCTCAAGAACAATTCATAGTTTCGATTTAATCAAGGTAAGGGTGTGAAATATCATCATCTTATCAATGTCTATGATTATGTATGTGTGTGTGTTTAGATTTTCCGTTTTTAATTCTAAATATGGAGATGTGGGTGTAAGGACGAAGTTCCTCTGTTGAAAACTACCCCACTGTTACATGTCTTTTATTGAGCAGGTGTTGTATGTTTTGGTGTATGATGTGATATATCTTTTTTATACCATGTTTTAAATATTACTCTGATGAAATTTTAATATGTGCGTAAATGTTTTATTTGATTAATTGGGGTATAGAAAGGGGGTGTTACACAGTTCATTGCTATGATCATCGAAATCAACATGGTTGGTGGAAGTGATGGATGATCGATAGACACTGGCGCCTCTCGTAATATCTGCTATGATCGTGTTATGTTCAAGACATACACGGATGTTGAAGATAAAAGTGCTTTTGGGAGATGCTCACACCATTAATGTTGCTGGAATTGGAGACGTTGAGTTGAAATTCACCTCAGAAAGACTTTAATATTGAAGGACGTCATGCATGTTTCCAAAATTAGGAAGAATATTGTTTCTGGTTTCCTTTTAAATAAGGCAGAGTTTAGTCAGTCTATTGGGGCGAAATTGTACACCGTCACTAAAAATGGTATTTTTTGTTGGGAAACGGTACGACACTAATGACATGTTTAAGTTGAATGTTGATTTGAATAAAATTTCCCCTTCTATTTACTCTTTGTGTGATTTTAATATTTGACATGCTGGACTTTGTTACGTTAATAAGCGAGTTATATCTAATGCAAGCAACTTAGGCCTAATCCCTAAATTAAATGTTAATGATTCAAATAAATGTGAATATTGTTGCCACACTAAAATAACTAAGACTTCACATAAATAATTATTAAAGAATATGATCCCCTAGGTCTTGTACACTCTGATATATGTGAATTAGATGAAAATTTAATTAGAAATAGTAAATGTTATTTTAGAACTTTTATTGATGATTGTTTTTTTATACTTATGTATACTTAACGAAGAATAAAAGTGAATCGTTTGACGTGTTTAATATATATGTAACTGAAATTGAGAATCAACTTAGTAAGAAGATTAAGAGGCTTCGTAGTGATAGGGGAGCTGAATACGATTCTAGGTTATTTAATAATTATTATAAAAAAACATGGGATTATACATGAAACGACTGCTCCATATTCTCCTGAAATGAACGGTAAAGCAGAAAGAAAGAATAAAACTTTTACTGAACTTGTTGTTACAATTACGATAAATTATGGTGCTGCAACTCACTGGTGGGGGAAAATTTTATTGACGACTTGCTATGTTTTGAATAGAGTTTCCAAGTTAAAAAGTAAAATATCTCCTTATAAGATATTAAAAAAAAAACCAAATTTGTCTTATTTGAGAACTTGAGCTGTTTTATTCTTAATGACTGCATTGCATAATTATTGACAATACGATGAAACTTCTTAAAAAAAGCAATCTAATATGCGACTTATCCTAATAATTTTCTTTGTGCCAATTTTTCAAAACCAAAAACAACATAATCATTTATGTTGTGTTTTTAGTACTTACCCTTCTATTATTGGGAATGGATTGGGTGACTTTAATTACAACAAGAACCATCCAATCAACCTCAAAACCAAGTTCAACTCTAGTTTAGTTTGAATTGTTGACAAAATTTGCATAAATATGATTATGACTCCATCTTTTGTAGAGTTAATGTTAATATCACAGTTGTATAGCTGAAAATAAAGCTATCCGTCTCCTTTGTTGAATGAGAAGTAAATCAATTAATCAAGCCCATATATATCATTTAAGAATACAAGCTACATCTTCACTTGTAGTAAGCATGAATTATAGACATCTCAGCCAGTAATATAAAATTATGAGCTACATGACCATGCATTTTTAGCCAACTCTATTCATATTCAAAGTCAACAAACTTTTAGGCAAAATTCGTAATCGTATTTTTCCTCTATGATAGGAAAAAGATAATAGTAATACTCATAAATTTAAAGCCCCGCACGATCTGAATTGTTTTTCTCATGAAAATGTTTGGTGGAAATGATGAGCAGTTCATGGAAATGAGGAGGTAGAAATAAGATGAAGCAAGTCCCACATCTTTTTTATTACATGTTTTTTGGAAATTTTTTAATGCATTATATGCTTCATTAGCACACCTCAAAAAAAATACAATAATACTATCAGATTTCAAAGATGTATAAAGACGTGCCAAATCCCTTTCTCCTCCCCTAGTTCTAAAAATACACTTTTTAGATTTTCAAACTCTCTCGATTCACATTCTCTCAACATCATTCAACCAACTTTAAAACTTCTTCCATCAACATGAAGTCCATTAAAGAGCTCATTCAACATAGAAGTAAACTCATAATTTGTAAGTTTTTGAATTTTCTAAACTTTTTGAGTTTTTATATAAAATGTAGAAATTGATTATTAGGTTATGAAATAGATAGTTTATACATGTTTGATAGTATATACATAATGAGAAATGTGTTTGGTATGTAGTTTTATTGTTTAATGCAATATTTTTGCTATTTTGGGAGACTGTATTACTGCTATTGGCGTTAGTGCGAGTTGTAGAAAATTCCAAAGATGTATTTCTAAAGTTTTTCAACGTTTTAATTCCAAAAAACTACAGATGTATCTCTGGAGTTTTTCGGTTTGCATTTTTTTAGTACTTTTTTGCTTGTAATCATTGTGTAACACTTGTGTGGTTTACTTACAAGAATTATGGATGATAGGCAAAACCAATTGAGACATGATAGGATTGCACAAAATACATCTTTTTGGAGGGAAAATGGTCAACCATGGTAGGTTCCTGTTTCCTTTAGCCTAGTTGATGCAGAGACGTCACCGCCTTCTTCTTCTCATAGGAGATTAATGTCACCTACTTACGCATCCCTGCCTTCATCTTCTCGTAGGCATCAAATTTCACCTATTTAGTCATATAAGGCAGCAGAGGTACCCG